ATATGGGGGCTATAGTTTCATCCATCACATCTGTGTTCCAGGCAGCAAGAGGGTGGCAGGCCATGTCCCCTACCTCCCAACAGACTTTCATAACCCCTATCCCTGCCCTTCGCTCACCAAAAAAAGAAAGAAAAAAAAATTACTATTTTTATTAGCTATTTATTACTATTTTTATTACTACAAGCAGTGAATAAATGTTGAGTAAACAGCTTATATTACCCTGGTTATTCAAAGTATTTTTCTAAGGTTAAATTCAGCAATTTGCAAGAGAGAAATGTGTGGATTTGGCTGGGGGTTTCTAAACACAATGAAGGCATGAGGAATTATTGTTCACAAGTAGCAGTTTTGCAGAGAAGTGAGAAGTGAGAGGTATCCAGAAAAATAGAATCATAAGTTCTTTTTTTTTTTTAGTACAGTGGGAATTCTGTAAATGATCGAACAATAGAGCATTTGACATTTGATCTTATCTTTAGGTTTCATTGATTAAACCCTCGTGATTGAGAATACATTGAAAGCCACCAAGGCATTAAGTGCCAAGTTTATGTCTGTTTCCTGGTGTGATTATACATTTGAAGTATATATGTCTGTACTGGTTTTACATGTCACTATCGTAGAATGTGGTTGAGCAAGGATGTAACATTCTTAATTTCTTTACATCCTAAATTCTACTGGTAAAGAACTTGAAGTTGTCAATTTCAGTGTTATTTCCACCTTAAACATTGTCAATTCAAGATTGAAACATTTTTAATTAAAGATTCTCCACACTCCTTTTTCTCCTCCTTTCACTGCAAGTTGATCTCAGTGCTGTGGAGATTTGCACCATTATTCATTTAAGACATTATTAATTTTAAGCTATAACACTAAGAAAGGAAAAATGCTGTCAATTTAATTGAAATAATATAATGGTATTTTTACCTAATGTAGGAATCATGCTCACCAACCTCTCAATACTATTACGTTCTTCATCCCTTCTAAAAAATTTGGCAATTTCTTCTGCCTGCAAATGCATTTCTTGGTATGTAATAGTCTTCTTAGAACAGAAATTAACAGTTATGTCTACCTGAAATATCTCCCCATTTAATAGACATGGCTGTTTCTTGGCAAAAATATAGAATTGACCCTATTGTTCTGGTGACAAACATTTGCTTACTGACATCAAATTATAGCCTACTATTAATCTCTTTCATTTCTTTCTACATATATAATAACCTTTACTTCAGTGATGATTCATGATATATTTTGGGGGCATTTTAAAAATCATTGAACTCATTCCTTGTAATAACAATGCATATAAATCCAATAGAAATAACAGCAATACAAAGAGCTTCAAACAATTTTGTGCATCTATAGTCAGTGGCAGCTATGTAGGAACTACCACTTGTCTGACAGCAGTTTTAAGATGCCATCAGTTGGAAGATGCATCCCAAGTTCAAAGATGTTAAAATATGAAGTATGTGTTTTATGCAGTTCTGTCCATAGGAGAGGATACACTTGCAGTCCTGCTCGGTTTGGGGGCTTTGGGGGCTTTAGCCTCTGTCTCTGCTTCTTCTGCCAAAGAACCTCTTGTTGACAGGTCCACACAAATTATACTGTGTTCCTGGTTCTGTCTCCATGCGTCTCTGATTCTTGCAGTCCACCTTTGCAACTTAATACATCACTGCTCCAGGCTGCTGGACTCTTGTGTGTTTTTACTCTGTGCCATGCTAATTATGCTCCACGCTTTTCACACCACCCTGCTATCTCTGATAAACTGAGTTAGGGATAGAAATATAAGAGATTTCACTGAGGAAGTAATACTTGAGTTGTAGTTATTTTCTAAAAATGTAAGTGATTGAGCAAAAAGGGGAAACAGAGAAGTCATGGACATGGATAACAGTGTGGTGATTGTAGGCAGGGGTGGGTAGAGGTGGAAGAGGGCTTAGAGGGGATAAATGATGGTGGAAAAAATAAGATAAAATGAAAAAAGAATAAAAAAAAATGTAAGAGATTCAAATAAGAGCCTGATGAATGGGGAGAAAACTACATTTCAAGCAGAGATGAAAACATGAGTCAAGGGAAGTCCTATCAAAAGTGTGTGCATGTTGTAAGCTTCTGTAGAACACAGGATATGTGGTAGGATAAAAAAAAATCAGTCGGATTTGGGACCAAATCAAGAAGAACGTGTTAAAAAAGAACATATTAAGGATTTCACCAGGCCGGTGTGGCTCAGTGGTTGTGCGTCGACCATGTGCCAAGAGGTTGCCGGTTCTATTCCTGGTCAGGGCACATGCCCAGGTTGTGGGCCCGATCCCCAGTGGGGGGACATGCAGGAGGCAGCCAATCGATGCTCTCTCTCATCCATGTTTCTCTCTCTCCCTCTCCTTTCCTCTCTCTCTAAAATCAATAAAGAAAAAAATTTAAATAAAAATAGGATTTGGCTTTTGCTGTTTGTGAAAATGGTCACAAAGCCTCCACTGCTTTGGAGGAAAGGAATAATACTATGGAATATCTTTTCTAGGAAAATGATTTTGTTGACCTTGTAAAAAATGAATTAGAGTTGGGAATAAACTAAGGTCGAGTCTTTTGAAGTTGTTTCAGTTGTTCAGTTGAGAGGTGTCAAAGCAGAATCAAAGGCTTTGGAGAGGTAGGAAGTGAAAAACTCTGACAAATAGTGCTCAGCAGAATGCAGGCCATGAGAAGAAGCCAGAGAGGCCCTACATGCTCACACTGGAAATAGTGACTAGGTGGATGGTGTCATGATCTTTTGACTTATGATCTCACTAATATGTGGAATATAATAAACAAACAAACTGACCAACAAAATAGATTCAGAGACATGGAAGCAGGGAACAGACTGAGGAACCTCAGAGGGAAGGGCGGAGGAGGGACAGGAAGAGATAAACCAAAGAATTTATATGCATATATGCATAACCAATGGACACAGGCAATAGTGTGGTGAAGGCAGGGGTTGCGGGGTGGCAGCGGGGATGATGGGGTCTCTGGGGGGAAGGGGGATACCTGTAATACTTTTAACGAAAAGATTTTTTTTTTTTTTTTTTAAAGAGAGGTTACAGAGGAAGACCAGGTTTAAGGCTAGAAGTTGATAGGTTTGATTCTTTATAGGTTAAAAATATTTCTTATAGGTCATATAGAGAAAGAACTTTTTTTTAGCTTTTCGGTATTATTTGGTCTGTAGTTTAGTCATGCCAGGGAAAAAAGAGAATGATGGTTCCACATAGCACAACACACAGTAGGTATTAGAATGAAAACAACTGGGATAGAATTCTAAGGGAATCACAACTTGTGGAAGGCAATCTTCTAAATTTTTTAGGATAGCTGTACAGTCTGGAAAATATAAATAGGTACCAGAAAGTGGTGCACATAAGTAATGTAATATATCATAAGAGACAGGTATGCATAGTCACATGTTTTGAGTTTAATTATAAATACTTAAAATGTATTTCTAAAACTGTACATTAAGAGATTTTTCATGTACTATATTTCTGGATCACAAAACATCTTACAATGCCATTGCTAAATGTCCCTTAGGCTCTCATAAGTAGTCCAAGTTCAAAAGACTATTTGATAATAGAATTGTATTTTTACTCTGCTAAATGGAACTACAGTTTTGATTTCACTGATTGATTATTTCATTATCTGCTTATTTATTATCAAAATGATCAAGAGTTTTTAGCATGCAAAGGAAAGGGGTTATATAAAATGAGGACTACATATTACATTGTTTTTAAATAAATTTCAACGTCTTTTTGAAAAAGCTTAAATTTACCCCCAAATTAAAATATATTAGAATCTCATTAGCCTAAAGCAATCTATAGATTTATTATAGATTGCTTACTAAAGACTCAAATAAAACAGAAAGTTGGAAGAGTAGTACTCATTCTCATATCTCCCATGAAGTTCAAAATGTTGACTATTATGAGGAAGATTTATTAAGTTAGTAAAATTTGCATCCCTTTGGCTGTTCTCTTAGTTTAACTAATTGCTTATGATTGCAGTGGCTCTTACTAGCAGAAGTTCCTTAGAAGTTATGATTTGGTTTAAGTAACAATAAAGCCTGGTATATAATTAGAATTAAGGTCTATAAAAATGTGTGTGATGAAAATATAACCCCATATTACCATAAAATAGTCAATAAACTAAGAAAATGAGCAAACTTTCCCCATTATATATTTTTATGGAAAATCTTATCTTTTTTATGGGTGAATTCTGTTATTCTGCTAAAATATTAGAAGCAATTTTTGTTTCATAGAGTATACTTCCTGGCCTGCAGCTTCAATTTTTCTTTTTAAAAAATCTTTCTTGTTGAAAGTATTAGATATCCCCCTTTTTCCTCCCATTGACCCTCTCCTCTTTCCCCCCACCACCCCCACCTTCACCACACTAATTTTTATTTCTGAAGGTTTAGAAATAGGATCAGTTAAGAACTGTATTTACAGAAATTATATAAACAAGTAACTATATTGTATACTTAAGTCAATTAAAGTCATTCATGGACCGGCCGGTGTGGCTCAGTGGTTGAGCATTGACCCATGCACCAAGAGATCACTGGTTCAATTCCCAGCCAGGGCACATGCCCATGTTGTGGGCCCAATCCCCAGTGAGGGACATGTGGGAGGCAGCCAATTGATGTTCTCTCTCATGGATGTTTCTAACTCTTTCTCCTTCCTTCCTCTCTAAAAATCAATAAAGAAAAAAAAAATTAAAAATAACTTATAAAGTCATTTATGAATATTATATGAGGGTATGACATTCTCTTTAATTACTTATACTAGTTACATATAAACTCTCTTTCAAAAAGTTAGAGTTATAATGTTAAAGATAGTATTGTATATAATTAATATATGTAAAATCATCATCTGTTTTATCAGTGCAATTCATTATAATACCCTTAGCTTAAATACTATAATTAACTTCTTGCCACTTCGGATCTTTGGGAATATTTTAAAATATGTTTAAATTTATTCCAGGATGAACATTTATAGTATTTTCTTTTCTTGCAGATAAGAATGTGCCTTTTGATGAGAGGATTTCATCTTTCTACAATGAAGAGCAGAATTTTTATGTTTAAGGAATAAGAAGCCACTTTATCAATGGGGGGGGGTATTTAAGTTACATATATTATGACAACTTTTAATTTGTTATTGCAATAAATACTGCATAATTTTGCTATGTCTTTGTACATATAGAAGTGCTCTTAATGGGCTTAGAGTTATTTGGAGTAAACTGTGCTATAATAGAAATCTGTTTGAGAGTTACTGTAAAGCAGGGTGTTTTCTGACCAGTTTTAGTTTCCTCCTTACCATATTATTGTAAACTGTTTCACATTCTAATTTGATTCTGGTTTGTTAGTTTTCTTTGTTAGTTAATTTTTCCTGGAACTATAAATTTCAACAAGTAACTGATGTGTAAAAATAATTTAAAAAGTTCTTTATCAAGATATATTTCCCATTTTTGTGGGGAAAAGAAGCCAAATTTATTACTTTGCATTTGGGTCTTTTAAATATTAATAAATGTCTGAATTGTATGCAAAACAATAAATATGGTTTAAAATTATTTTTAAGTGGTACAGACAGAATGTGTTTATATAAAATAAACCCAAAGTATTAAATTATATATTAACATGTGTAGAATTAAAATAAGTTCATAAACTTTGGAGTCAGACAGACCTGGATGCAAAAGTTGACTTTGTTATCTTTGAACAAATTATTCAACCTTATTGAGCTTCAGTTTTTCACATTCTAAAAATTAGAGGAAAACTTATAGCAAAGGCATGGGTCACAAACTCAGTTGCATAAAGGGGCCAGGAAGGTAATTTAAATGTGTGTGTCAGTCAGGATAGGCTGGAACATGTAGTAATAATAGATGGTCCCCATATCACAGTGGATTACAACATAGATTTCTCTCTCACTTATGCTGCCCATTTGTTATGGACTGTGATTCTGCTCTTCGTTGTCTTTTCTCCAGGACCAAGGCTAATGGAGAAACCTCTGCCTAGAATATTTCCTCATAGCTAAATGTCCAGATGTGATGAAGTCCATGCTAGTTCATAAATTTCTGCCCTAAAGTGATATATTTCATTTGCATCTACATTTTATTGGCCAAAACAAACCTTAAGGCTGCTTCAGAGTTCCACAAAGCAAGAATAGGTAATCCTGTATCAATGAGGTGAAGATTTGGCCACCTAAAATGCCAACTTAGTTTTACCTATATGCTAACTGGCATACCACAATGGGTCAAGTTCCCTGATATCAGTATATTTGTGTATATTCTGTAAGCAGGGATTAAAGCAAAAATATATTTCCTCTTCTAAAAGGATCAGCCTCTGTTCAGCTCCCAGTAATAGTTACTAAAAGGAAATACTTCCCTAGTATTGCTAAATCTTTTAGTTTTAATTTTCAAACCAAGGCATCAGATTTCTTATATGAAGTTTCCTCATTTTAAAATGTTACTAGGTCATATTTTTGGTTAAGTAGCCCCACACCTACCATTTTGTGATATTTGAAAATCATATACTATAGTATCTTAGAAATACCAATCACTCATATCATTCATTTAATAACTGATGTTATTTATAAACTAACTTTTATATTAAAACTAGAGATAAGAATTAAATCTGGAGAATAAAAATTTTAATTATTAAGATAACTTACAGTAATGATAATTTTCACAAATGATTTTCAAGTTGGTTTTAAAGGGGATGTTACTAAAATGTTTTAAACAGTGGTGTCAACTTTATTAGAAATATACAATTTCTCTAGGTGACTGCTTTAAAGAGAATATTTTTCAACTGAATGTGGAAATTCTGGCATGTTTGTTGAAAATGCTCTTATATCATTACTTTTATATAGTCATTGTTTTTATTTTTGTTTTAACTTTTTTGTTTGATTTTTTTTTTTTGTTACAGATGTTTCTTCTTTTCCCCCCATTGACACCCTCCTTTCATTCCTGCCCCCACCCCCAGTATTGTTGTCTATGTCCATTGGTTATGCTCATATGCATAAGTTCTTTGGTTTATCTCTTTGTGCCCCCCTCCACCCTGCTCTGAAGTTTGTCAGTCTGAACCCTACTTCTATGTCTGTGGGTCTATTTTGTTTATTATATTCCACAAATAAGTGAGACCATGTGATACTTGTCTTTCTCTGACTGAAAGAAGAAAATAATAAAAATTAGAGCTGAAATAAATAACATAGAGACTAAAAGAACAATACAAAAGATCAATGAAACCAAGAGCTGGTTCTTTGAAAAGATAAACAAGATGGATCAACCTTTAGCCAGACTCACCAAGAAGCAAAGAGAACCCAAATAGATAAAATCAGAAATGAAAGAGGTGAAGTAACAACAGACACCATAGAAATACAAAGGATTGTAAGAAAATATAAACAATTATATGCCAACAAATTCAACAACCTAGGCGAAATGGACAAATTTTTAGAATCATATACTATTCCAAAACTCAACTGGGAAGAAAACCTACACGGACGAATAACAATTGAGAAAATAGAAGAAGAAATCAATAAAGTCCCAGCAAACAAGCTGTGGTCTGGACGGCTACACAAGGGAGTTTTACCAAACATTCAAAGAAGAACTATCACCTATTCTCCTCAAACTATTCCAAAAAATTCAAGAGGAAGGAAGACTTCCAAGCTCTTTTTATGAGGCCAGCATTATCCTAATCCCAAAACCAGATAAAGACACTACAAAGAAAGAAAATTAAAGGCTAATATATCTGATGCACATAGATGCCAAAATCCTCAACAAAATCTTAGCAAATCAAACCCAGCAATATATTAAAAAAATTATATACCACAATCAAGTGGGATTTATCTCAGAGAGGTAAGGCTGGTACAATATTTATAAATTGATAAATGTGATACACCACATAAACAAAATTAAAGATAAAAATCATGTGATCATATTAATAGACGCTGAAAAGGCACAGTCATTCTTGAACTGCAAATCTATTATGATCTGCATAGTAAGCCATGCGTTGATTGAAGTGCCAGATAGTACACTAAATTTTAGCTTCATTAGATATGTTGATGAGATTGTAGAATTTTCACCTACAAACATGTTTATGAAATAGTTAGGATTATCAACTGTAAAGATATATGTATATTATAAGATAGCTGGTGATATCTTAGATGTGAGAACATGTTACTATTCTCCTTTTCCATTTTGTACTTCCTTTTGGCTGTTTTATTGGCAAGAGTCTCACCTAGAAATTGGAGGTCAATGGACACTAGTGTAATTGCATTCTAGCTCAGGAGACAAGTAAATGGAGAGAAAGAATAAGTTTGAAATAATTTATAGATATTCTACACGTGAACTGGAAGTTTCTGACCAACCACTGTGTGGGGCTAGAAGAGCAAGTTGCTCCTTTTGGCCTACTTTCTTGTAATCAATAGGTACATAAGCACTACTATGAAAATAAACCCTTGAGCTAGAGGGTTCTCAACCTTCATCTTGTCAGCTTCTAGTTGGTTTGGGGATTTAGTTGCCTTACAGAGGATATAATCTCTTACCTTTTGTCATTTAGCCTCTCTTTAAGAAATTTTTTCTGCTACTTTAATTTTAAGTTTATTAATTTACTTATTCAGGATAGCTTTAGCTAATTTGCTTTTCTAAGTGAAGCAGTAACGGAAAGCGAGTTAATTTCTCTCAAAGATTGAAAGAATGAGTGTAGTGAAATAATTCATTCTATAAACATGTGACAGGAATACCTATTTTCAATATGTTTTACCTGCTCATACCAATATATCATGTTATAAAATAAGAGTTCAACGTGGAAGGGAAGAAATTAGGGGATGGGCACTCCCCCAAACTTTCATGTCTGACTGGTTGAGAAAGCAACGATGTTGCATGTTCCATGAAAAGGTCCTATTAAAGAGCCACAGTATAGGATCTATGGCCAGGTTTCTGGCTCTATTTTTGCATCTGGCTCTAAATAGATGTGTTTTTATGTGGGTTCCGTTAGTACCCATGCCATATTGCTCCGGATAAGGCAAAATTATTCAAGTATTTTTTCTCAAATAAGCATATGAAGCAAACTGGACCAAACATCTCTGATAGTTGTTTCTCTTAATCTGCCAATGGTTCTCAACGTTCCTAATGCCGCCACCCTTTAATACAGTTCCTCATGTTGTATGTGGGTGTATCTGCATGTGGGCGGACCCGCCTGGAGACGGACAGAGGAGCGGTGTCTCGGTTCCTAAGACCATCGGAAATACATGTTTCCCGATGGTCTTAGGCTACCCCTGTGAAAGGGTCGCTCGACACCCAAAGGGGTCGTGACCCACAAGTTGAGAACCTCTGTATTAGGGAAATCCTGGGCCCACACCTACTGTTATTACCTAAAAGGGAATAAAGGAAGTCATTTTATCCTATGGTTCTGCTCACCCTCTTGTCTGAAGAAAAGTTCTTGACATAAAAGTGCAGCTCAGACTCTGGTGTTTTTTTTGTCCTTTACCTCCAAAACAGGAAGGATGGCAACCTTTAGGTTTCAGACTTTTCGGACGTTAGCTCTTATCCTTTTGTTTTATGCCTTTTCCCCACTAAATCTATTACTACTATTCATCCATGCAGGTTCTAACCTCCTTTTCTAAAGTAGAACATACCCCCCCCCCTTTTTTTTGCAGCTGGAATGATTTTGCCTCCTACCCAGCCTCCTAAAAACATGACTGAACTTTCTCCTAACTAGACCTTCAGACCAACTTTCCAATTATATTTTACCTACTAATTTTCTCATGGACCAATAGTTTCTTCTGGATAAATCAGCTAAATTTTAGGCAGACTAGTGCAATATAGTCATGGAGGCCTAGGAAGCCTACAGATTTCCAAGCAACAGACATGTGACCTTTGATTAGTTGCCCTTGGCTGGTCATATTTGCAGTACACCATGGAGCTACGGACTTAACCAATCTTAAGATCTAAGGTAAAATCAATAAGTATAATCTTTCAGAAGAGACAAAATGGGCATTTCTGCTGGTAATAGTTATTTTTCTTGGAACATGGCAAGGTAAGTTCCAAAACTAATCATCCTAAATTTTAACATTTTTATGATTTACATGGTGTAAAAAACAATTATATCTGGGGACCTGATACCCAAAACTATTAGGAGGACCAAAGAGACTCTTAGATGCATTGAGGAACAAAAGGTTTTATTTCTGAAGGAAATGTGATGGTTCCTAGTCTCTTGAATTTTTTCTTTAAATACACATATGCTGTTGTTAAAAGCCCAACAGGTGATTTTCTTGTAACCTCAGAATGAGATCCTCCGCCAGGCTGAAGATGATCCACATAGTGGTTAAGAGTAGAGCTTCAGAGACCAACAAACCTGGTACTGAATTCCGGGCTCCATCATTTTAATCAGCTTAGTTATCTTCAAAGTTTCTTTTTTCACAGTTCATTCTCCACATGTAACTAATAATCCAGTCTAATTGAATACATTTACTAACAGCTTTAGATTTGTTCATTCATTCAATTCTTACACTAACTCTTTCAGGGAGAGATTA